TGGGGATAGACTAGGTGCAGAGTCTGTCTCCTGCCGCCCCTTGTTAGTGACTGAGTCAACTCCCGACCCTCGGCCACCTCACCCCCAGTTTATTCCTACTGCTCTCTCCTGCTGCTTCCTCAGTGTCGCTGTTGTAGACCACCCAGCTCAGCCAATGACCCCTTTCCCCCTGAATGTCAGTTTCGTGTTTTTAAAAGTCACCTGCGTAGTTGATGTCAGTGTATGTGTATTTGGTGGGGAAGCATATTTGGGGGGATTCCTGTGGTAGGTGATAGAGGAAGAAAGGGCACTCCTCCTCCCTGCCCTGGGCTCCTGGAAGACGTGGAGAGGGAGCTGTAAGAGGATGGGAAGTTTTAAAACCCTGAAATTTTCAAAAAGCACTTAAGCACCTCCTTCTTAGGGCTTGGTGGGTCATCCCCCCAACCTCTTTCCTCTCCCACCAAGACCATCAGAACCTTGACTGGTAGCTAGGGGTTCCCTGGGATTGGGGGGCGGGCAGCAGGGGAGAGGGTAACCGACCCCCAGCTTGCAGCTCAGCTCTGCCCCCCGGATTCCAGTGCCTCCCACACCAGCTGTCTCCACTTCATCCTTGATGTGAAGGCAGATGTGATACCAGGCTCTCCACCGATTCTTCCTGGTCCCTCCCCACCAGGCCCCTTGTTCCTCATGTCCCCATGTTTCTCTTCCTCTGCGTCTTGGCACCTTTCTTCTGTTCAAAAGTTTTCTGTAAATTTTCTCTTTTTCTTTTCTTTTCTTTTTTTTTTTTTTATAAATTAATTTGCTTTGAGTTCCATCTTGTGGATGCCTTCCGTGTTCTTACCTGTGGCTGTCAGGCAGGGGATTGGGCTGGGGGCAGCACTCCCGGAGTCCTTCCCAGGGGCATTCACCCGGGCAAGGAGGCACTCAGCAAGCCCTAGGCCCAGACACTGGGTTTCTCTCCATGACAGGCTCAAGGCAGCACAGCTGTCAGTACTGTGCACTGTGCAGGGGCTGGTCAGAGGCTCTTACCTGCCCTAAAAATAGCTGTTTAAGACTTGGAAGGACATCCGCAGAACCTGGGGATTTTGTATATTTATCCTTTCAGAAGTAGTGACTTCATTCCTTCCCTTATTCGGTGGGGATGAGGCAGGCATCTCACCTACTTCTGTTATTACTGGCCCCTAGCTCTGCCAAGGGGACAGACAGGCGCAGGCCGTGCTAGTATGGCCTGGCTTTAGCTCCAATAAACACTCCCGGGGTTTCTCCCACAAAAGGCCTGCAGTGCTTGGGAGGGTGAGAGCTGGGAGAGCACTCAGCCTGATATGGGACAGAACAAGAGGGCCAGCCTTGGTCCTACAGGGATTTATGGCTTCCCTAATCCCCCAGGGGGTAGCCTTTGTAGCATCAATGAGTGGGGCCAGCATTTCTCAAATGAGGCAAAGATGGCTCCTACAGGCCCTTCCCAGCCTTCCCCAGCCCCTGGTCCATTGACCCTGGACTGTCTCACCTTCCCTTTCACCTTGCTCAAGAAGGAAAGCAGAACTGCATTTAGGGCACAGAGAGCAAGTTTATTTGGTGAATGCTGACAATAAACATCATCGAAGAGAGAGCAGCTGGGATAGGTGCTGTGACAAGAGAACCTAGGGAGCCTTCGGCTACACACAGTCTCAAAGGGGAAGGCACGGGGCTCTGGGCACACTGGGACTGTCCTCAGCCATTCAGCACCATGCGGACGAGCTCTGTGGAAAGGAGAGAGGGGTGAACCCGGGAGCGGAGCTAAGGTGGGGATCCACCAGGGGCCAGGAGACCACAAGACCATGAAGGTGGCATAGAAAGGAACACGCCCAAAGCAATCAACCTTGGGGTCGGTTTGCAGAGGAGCCACCTTGAGTCTGACCAGTTCTCTTGGCCCCCAGCTCCCCTCCCACCAGGTGTTAGTCCCCCAGCCCACCCTGAGCAGCAGGAACACAGCAGAGGCAGAAAAGTTTTCAACTACACCTCTAGCTACTGTCAGCCATTGGCAGGAGGAGAGGACAGAGTTCTGGGTTAGGGTACCTCCAAGCTGCCCAGCAGAAGGAAGGGGGAAAGACTTCAGCTACAGCAGCACAAGGGGCAGGCAGCCCACCCGCTCTGCCAACCATCCCTGCTCTGGGGCCAAGGGACCACCCTAAAGCAAGACGGGGAGAGGCTGGTGTGAGTTCCCAGGCACCAGCACGCAGGACCCTATAAGCCAAACCTCAGAGCCCATTCTAGCAGAGGAGGAGGTACCACACGCCCAGCTGTCTTCCTCTTTGAGGAACCCCTCCCCTCCACAGTCAGCTCCATGCAGAAACGTGCCAGGGGGACGTCAATGGTAGCAGGGGAAGGCGCTAGAGGGCAAAGGCCAGAAGAAACACACTGGGGAGGCCAACGAGAGAGGGGAGGCTAGGAGGAGCCGTACCCGCCCCACGGGCCGTCACCCCGACAGGATATGCCTCACAAACGCTGCAGGAAGGAAGAGACATTAATGGTGAAGACAAGACACAGACGTGGGGTGAAGGGCTCAGGCGGTGGGTGATAGACATTCCATTTCTTTTATTTCCCATTCCTTCTCTGCCCTTCCCCCCACATTACCCCTTCCTTTCCTGTCAGACGTCCCTGGCCTCCCGCTCCTGGGCTGGGCTGGGCCCTGCCCCTTGCCTCCTGGCACTTTTTGGAGCCCAAGTCCAGGGATGGCGAAAACCCCAAATGCTGTGCTTGACCTGCTCTGTATGGCTGCTTCCTCCATGAGAGCCCCAATTTGTCCCTCACCTTCATAGTTGATACAACCATTGCTGTCCTCATGCCCTGCCACCAGCATCTCTACTTCTTCCTCTGTCATCTTCTCACCTGCAGAGGGGAAAGAGAGCATTTTTGGAATTCGGTGACAGGTAGGTGTATCAGGTGGCACCTTGGCTCAAGGTGCAAGGGCAGAGCCTTACCCAGGGTGACGAGAACATGCCGGATTTCAGCCCCCATGACAGTGCCATTCCCTTCCTTGTCAAACACCCGAAGGCCTTCAACGTAGTCCTCATAGGTGCCCTGGTCCTTGTTCTTGGCCACAGTCTGCAGCATGGGCAGGAAGTGCTCAAAGTCCAGCACCTTCACATTCATCTCTGCCATAAAGGAGGTGGAAGGAAAGTCACACACGTTCCCAGGGCGGAGGGGATTGCAGGGATCACGACAGAACAGCCGGCTCCCACTCCAAGCAGGGAAAATCCGTGGGATTTGTTAGTCAAGACCTGCTGGAGTTTGGGGCCTACTAAGATAGAGGGATGCTCTTAGCTGAAGAACTGTGGGCTCACTACCACACTGAGGAGTTGTTCTAGAGGCCCCTCACCATCACTCTTGGGGTTCCCCAGGACCTTGAGCACCTCGGCGTTGGTGGGGTTCTGGCCCAGCGCCCTCATCACGTCCCCACACTGGCTGTACAGGATCTTGCCATCCCCTGTTCGGTCAAACAGCTGGAACGCCTCCTTGAACTCTGAGGATTCAGATAAACAGCAGCACTGGGCATGTGGGGTTAACACAAACCCTCCCTCAGAGCCTGGACTGCCCGTTCAACTTTGATCATGCTGAGGAAACCAGATATTGATAGTGCTGTACACCCAAGTCCACTAAGAGGGATCCAGTGTCCCTTCCTCCCAACTCAGGTGTCCCACAGAAAGACAGCTCTCCGCCCACCTGGCGGAGTGGTCGCGCCCATTTACACACACGCACACACCCACTGCCTGCAGCAAGTCTGCCAAGCCTCCTCACACTCTACTCAGGGCAGGAATTTGCCACCGCCCTATCTGGGTCCTGTCCTTATAAGGAAGTGGGAGCAGCGGTCTGAGACCCGGGTCATCCCAGCCTGCCACTTCCCACCGCTCTTGTACAGAAAGAGACCTTTCAGACGGTACAGCTACAAAGAAGTATCCTCAGCAAAGTCCCCTGTCCCCATTTTCTCAAAACACCGGGTCACCGCTTTTTACAATCTTCACAATTACAAGCTGGGGGAGGGGGAGAGTTATCACAGGAGAGAAGAGGCAGAAGTAGCTGATTAAGGGACAGACGAGCGCAGGCAGCTTAATCACCCTCCCGAAATCCCACATACAGCAGGCAGTAGGTGACCGAGTTGTTTCACACACCCACACCCACCTAAAACTCACCCAGTGCTTGGGACTCAGATCTAGAGTGGAAGGGGAGGGAGGAAGAGAGAGTGAGAAAAGAAAATGGAGGATCCGGGAGGGAGAAGATAATCTAGGAGGTACGCCCCTGGGGGTGCTGAAAAGATGACAGGTTGGGGTTACGGGTAGGTAGGTGCTGGAGGGAGTGTCCCTCTCCCTAAGCGAGACTTCAGTAAGGGTCAGAGATTACTTACCTGCAGTCTGGTCCTCGGTGAAGTCACACTGCTCAGAGAAGAGGGGAGCAGTCAGCATCTATCCCTAATCTTCCATCCCAGTCCCACAAACTCGGAACCACAAACTCCTGTTCCATGCTAGGGACTCGCTTCCCAGCAGGACAGGACCCCAGACTTTCCAACCCCACTTGCAACCTTCCAGGCCCTCAGGTTCCCTCTGCCCCCCTACCCTCTGCCTTCTCCTTACTCCCTACCCCCGGCTTCCCGCCTTTCGCCCCAAATCCCGCTCATCCTCCCCGGCCCAGGGCCCCACCATCTTAACCGCTGAGCTCTGCGGGACCTTTTCCTGCAGTAATGGCTCCGACCCCAGGCCCTACCCTAGTCTTAGTACGTCCCAATGACGTCACCCTAAGCTGGCCCAGCCAATAGGAATCCTGGCCTGGGCTTACGCAGAGGACGCTGCTACATTAGTAATGGTGTGGGCGGGACCCAGGGCTGCCGATTTCTCCAGCAGAGCTGGACCCGGGGCACCGGAACCGCAGGAGCTGGGGCGGGGCGCAAGGAATCTGCTCCTCTGAGCAGGAAGATCGGAGGGCATCGGACTAGGGAGAGGAGAACCCTCCCTCCCTCCCCCACCTCTGAGAAAAGCAACAGTCGGAGGCCAAGGGAGGAACCGTGTCTTTATTTTGAAATAATAGGTGGCCTCCTAGTGGCAGGAACGTGCTTCCGCCTGCGGGGGAGCCGGGTGTCCGGTCCACAGCATCTGTGGAAAAAGATGAAAAGTGCCAAGCCCTGGCGCTCGCGCGCAGCAGGACGTGAAAACGCACTTCCCTGCTCTTCCACCCTGGCTGAGGGAAGAGAAGGGAGTTGCCTCTCAGGGCGGAGTGGGAGGGCCCTACCTGTAGAGCTCAGACGCTTAAGATGTGCTTCAGGAAGGCTGCAGAGAGAGGAGGCAAGAGGGCTTCAGAAGCAGGCCCTTGGATAATCCATCTGACTTCAGAGAATCCAGGCTCCAGGGTGCCCCCCTACATACCGCAAGCCTCCCGCCTCCCCTCCTCCCCGGTCCCTTCTGCTCCCCTGGCCCTTCACCTTCATAGTTGATGCAGCCGTTGCTGTCCTCATGTCCTGCCAGAACAGCCTCCACCTCGTCTTCAGTCATCCTCTCTCCTGAGCCCCAGACACAGCGTTTTAACCCTGGCCTCCCTTCCCTCACCAGCCCAGGCCACGCTCTTCTGGGTGGTACTTGCTCTTCTCCCACCCTGGAGACCCGACCATATAGCAACAGACCCCCAAAGGCATCCTCTCCTTGTAATGGTAATGCCATGAAAGCGTTCCTGCATCTCCTTTCTATTTCGCCTGCATTAGCACCTGGGGAAAGCTTTAACAGACATGCAAACTGAACTCCAGAGGGTTAAGAGTGGTACCAGATCACAGACCACAAACACTTCCTTCCCAAAGCAGAAGCTTGGGTCTCCCACCTCATCCCCTTTCCTCTGCCTTTTGGGAGGCATCTACGTGCATCCCCTCACTTTAGCCTCTGCAGGAGGAAGCCCTTCAGATTCTGCCCCCCTAGCTCTGACCTTCTCAGTCTCCTGCCCATGACCTACAGGACAGTAATCCCTCCTTGGCTCTGCCTACTTGGCTAACCTTCTTCTTGGCCCACCCCCTCCTCTCCACCCGACAGGAGTTCTGGTCCCTGACTCACCCAGGGTGGTGAGGACATGTCTGAGCTCCGCTCCCATGACTTTGCCGTCCCCTTCTTTGTCAAACACACGAAGCCCCTCCAGGTAGTCTTGGTATGTGCCTTGGTCCCGGGGCTTGGACACTGCCTGGAGCATGGGCAGGAAAGTCTCGAAGTCCACACGGCGGGACTTCAGCTCTGGAGGTTAGAGAGGTGAGGGAGAGGTCACTACAGTGTCATCTAGGACCCAGCTTCCATCCTTACCAAAAGGCTTCATCCTGTTCAATATTCAGGATGTTTTTCTGCCCCTGCGTTTGACAGTTTTTGAAGTCCTGAGACCCACCCAGCATCCTCTGTCACCTTGCCAACACTCCTCGGTTCCACCACCAAACTGAAAACTCGCATTGTTCCCTCACCATCACTCTTGGGGTACCCCATGACCTTGAGCACCTCGGCGTTGGTGGGGTTCTGGCCCAGGGCCCTCATCACATCCCCACATTGGCTGAACTGGATCTTGCCATCCCCTACTCGGTCATACAGCTCAAAGGCTTCTTTGAACTCTGAAGGATAAGGAGAAGTCAGTGTTGACCAGGGGTTCCCATCACCTCTAGACAGAAAGGAGGTTCAGAAACTACGTGCTAGAGCTGGGCAGGACAGGGGACACAAAGAGGACCAGTGTGGGAGGTTTCATGGTCAGGACTGGAGTTAGGGGACTAGAAAGAGGATCTGACCAGGGGCTCGGGACTAGACAGTGGGCTCAGGGGACCAGTGTCTCCTCACCCTCGAGCTGGTCCTTGTTAAACTCGATCTGTGGAAGAAAAGAGCAGATGAGGGATGACAGGATTCACTCAATCCCTCTCCCACACCCCTCCCACCAACTGGCAGCCACTTCTGGGGAGGGGCCCAAAGGGACCAGGCTGGAAGCCCAGCCACCTCAGTCCCATTCCCAGCTCTGGACTTTGGGAGAATCCCAAGAGGAGGAATTATGGAGGGAAGGTTTCCTGGGAACAGGGTTAATCCCATGCCACCTGTTCCCCTCCCTCCACTGCCCTGAGTCCTGCATCCCTCACATAACTGGGGGCTGAACAAAGGCTAAATTTACCCCTGGCCCCCAGCTGTGATTGTCTAACAAATCTGTCCTCTTCAGCCTTCCCTCCTGGGGTTCAGAACTGTGGCCTTTAGAGTTGAACGGTCAGCCAGGCACAGGCAGCAGCTCCCTCCCTTCACCTTGAAACTGTCCTCAGATCCCAGATGTTCCCCATCTCACAGTCCTTGCCGCCAGCAGGGGGGTCAGTGAGAGTGTTTGTGCGCGTGTGTGAGTGTGTGTATATGTACAAACACATGTTAGACAGGAGAGAACAACAAAGATACTAGCAGAGTCAAAAGCCTGGATGCTTCCAAGTGGGGGACTAAGAGGAACCCCCAATATCATTCCAGTGCTCACTGATTCCCTACCTTCTAGATAGCCCCCAGTCCCCTAGGCTGTATCCCACCCTTGTACTGCCCTCTCCAAATTCTTTCCTCACTTTCCGGGGACTCACCACCACTTTGGAGAGATCGATGGGGGGCTCCTGGGTTTTCTGAGGGGCCGGAGGGACAGGAATAACTGGAGGGACAGCTGGAGCTGGCTCAGGCTTAGGCTTGGCTGGAGGGGCCGCTGGTGCTGCTGGCTTGGCAGCAGGCTTGGAGATAGGGGGCCCCGCTGGTTTCTTCACAGGAATATCCTTCTTGGGAGGCATGATGTCCGGTGGCCAAAGGACAGTGTGCCGATGGGGGCACCCATCTCTGTTTAAATAGCCAGGGAGTCTGGGATGTCAAGGGGCGGGGGCAGGGGCAGGGAGCCAGTTGGCAGTGGGGAGGGTGAGATAGAGGAGAGATATGCTGGCCTGCCCTCACTCCCCTGGCCTCCTGTGGTTCAGTACTCCTGTCCCAAGGTCTTCTCCCTTCTGTCCACCCCGCCCCAAACGCTGGCCAGAACAATGGCCCCTTTGGGGGGTGGGGGAGGAAGCCAGAGACTGCCTAGAAAGGGGGAGTTAAGCTCGGGGTGAGGATAGGATGCTTGCCAGTGACATACACTGAGACAGGGGTGAGGCAAAGAAGGGGATCCAAGCATTCCAGGCTCTCAACTCCCGGACTCAGAGTAGCCCTTTTTTTCTAGCAGCCTTAGGCTCTTGAAGGCTGAGGCAGGGAGGGGGGCCTTGTGAAGTGGGTTTGTTAAAGTGGGGTCTGGGAGCAGTGAAATGTGAAAAAAACAAGCTGCCCCTCCACTCCCCTGACCACGGATGGGGGGAGAGGTAGTTGACCCCCCCCCCCCAGCCTGATAATCCCTGATACTTATAGTCCCTGTCCTCTTCCATCCCAGCCCACAACTGGAACTGTGCACAACGCAGAGAAAGAATAGTGATAGAAAGAAGAGTGTGGGGGCCGCCCCGTGGCACAGCGGTTAAGTTCACACATTCCGCGTTGGCGGCCCACGGTTCTCGGCTTCAGATCCCGGGTGCCAACATGGCACCGCTTGGCAAAACCCATGCTGTGGTAGGTGTCCCATGTATAAAGTAGAGGAAGATGGGCATGGATGTTAGCTCAGGGCCCGTCTTCCTCAGCAGAAAGAGGAAGGTTGGTGGCAGATGTTAGCTCAGGGCTAATCTTCCTCAAAAAAAAAAAAAAGGGGGGGTGAAGAAAAAGAAAGAAGAGTGTGACACCCCAGTGTCGTCTCCTGTGTCCAGTGTTGTTTTAGGGGTGGAGGTGAGGGCAAAGAATGGATTGGGTTTAACCTCCACCACCCATATTCCCAGTGAAGGAACCCTTTTCCACAAACCCGTGGTCATTCAAGTCGGACAAAGGCAGGGTGCCTGCTGAACTCCCTGGTGACACTTGTGGGGGAAGGGCAGGCTCTGAGACGCAAATGGCCTAAATTCTAAAACCTCTAATCCAAAAGGATGTGGCAGGTCCTATGGGCTCCATGAGCATTCATCCCCCAGTCAGAGAGATAATAAAAACCCTCACTCGGCTGCCAGGTAACAAACCTTGCTGAGGGCGCTGGGGAAGGGACGCAGTGGGGGCCTTTGGCAGAGGGGAGGGGTTGCTGGCTACTTTTGATGGGGACAGGGGGAGAAGGAGAGGATCTAGATAGCATTCTGAAGAAGACAGCAGAGATTCCACTTAGGCCCTGGGGTTCAGAGAATTGATGCTGGGTCTCCCACCCGCAAAAAAGCGTCTGAATCCCATTACTGCAAATTGTCCCAATTTAGGAAAATCAGAATCATCCCTCCCCCCGAGAATACATCACACACACACACACACACACACACACACACACATGCACACCCCTAAGTCTTAAATAAAGGGAAAAGTCCCTCCCTAGCTCCCTAAAACTCACCCTGCAGGGTCCAGGTAAGGGGCGGAGGCGGGCGCAGAGCGGCCGCCGGCGCTAAAGGGTTAACTCCGGCGGCCTCGGAGCATGCCGGGAGTTGTAGTCCCCGCGCGCCCGCGGGCTCACGGGAACGCCGCTCTGCAGCTCCAAGCGGAAGTCAGGGTTGCGGCTTCCGGCCGGTGGCGGCGGTTGGTGACTCAGGTTCTTTCGGGCGCGATTCTTGTGCTGGAACTGAAAGGCGATGAGCCACTTACTGTCCCCACCCCTCACCCTAAAAGTGCGCGCGGCCCCTCAAGGTATCTACCTTGGTGGCCCCGGAGGTCCTCCGTCCGCTGGTGAGAGAAGTCAATCAGGGAAAGACTGCAGCTGCAGCTGCAGCAGGTCGATGGAGGTCAGATGGAAGGAAGCACTTACTGCTCCGGGGAGAGTGGTCTCCTTAGCTTCCTCTCGCGGTTTGGTAGAGAATAGAGGCCATTGAATTGCTGTGTGACTTGGAACAGTGACTCCAAAGATTTTTTTAAAATTTTTTTTGAAATGAGCTGGTAGTTGAAAAATGTTAAGATTTGGAATTAAGCCCGATCACCTGCCCCAGGCGATCTACTTCGATCTACTTTAGAGAGAAGTGGTGCAAGCTCTCCACGTTGAAGCTTCTCCCCACTGCGGCCACACGGGCGCCAGCCCCTCCGCCCGGTCCTCGCAGGTCTCCTCGGAACAGAGGCCTGGGCTCTGCAGCCCTTCGCTCTGAGACGCCCTTGGACAGCACCGGGCCTCCCATTCCCCAAGACGTTTACGAGAGGTGCTGTCTGCTGGGAGGGAACCAGCTTCCCGAGCGGCATCAGGAAATGAGCTGGAGGCTGGGGCCGCACGGGCGGGCGCGGGGTCGGGAGGTGAGGCGCAAGTGGACTTCATGGGCAGTGAGTGACGTTCGCTGGTTGGCGGAGCTTCTCCGAAGAAAAGAGTAGAAATGGGCGGTAAAACAGAAAGAACAATGAGGAAGAACAGGTGGGCGTCAGCAGCGGTCCCGGAGGGGCTAAGTGATCTCAGGGGCGGCGCCGGAGCGTGGCTCAGACCAGCCTGCTGGAATCTGAATCCAGGTTCTGCCGGATATTTGCTGGAAACCTCCAGCAAGTTTTTTTCTCTCTCTCTGACTCAGTTCCCCCATCTGTAAAATAAAGATAATAGTACCCACCTCATAGGGCTGTGGGGAGGATTAGATGTGTTAATATTTGTAAAACAAAATGGGCCTGGCACGGAGAAAGTGGTAGCTGAGTGTTCAATAAATTTCCTTTAATTTTCCCAGCATACGGCGATGTTTTCCCCATTTTATATCTATAAAGGATCAGTAGGCACGAAGAGATGGAGAGCAAGAAGGAATACATTTCTCCTACGTGTTGGGTTACGGGACTGTTTGGAGAAGGGCCGCATCACAGATGACTTTTTTCTGTCTTTCGTCACTTCCACGGAAGTTGACCTTGACGATGTGGTTTATCTGATTTTTTTCGTCCTCCTGCTTTCCTCTACAGCCTTTTTGTGGCACTTTGCCAAGTAGAAGCGGTTATGGCATCATCTGACTTTCTAGCATTTTTGTCTGCTTTAGAGCGAAGTAGTGCAAGGAGAGGAGATGGAAAACACAGATGGAAGGACTATTCTTCGTCTTCTGTACTATCCCTTTCTTTTAATCATAACTAATGCAAACTGGACTGAACATGGTGTTAACTGGGCATAGGGGATTAATACATCATATATGTGGATTTTCTGTGACAAATGCCTATCTCTCCTCTTCCTCCCCCACTTAGCAAGTGACTTGTATATTCTTAGGGATTGCATATTTATTCTAATATCAGTCTCAACATAAAATATTTAGGAAGGGCACATCTGTAAAAGAAAATGCATATGTTAAAAACCTGGGGCTGGCTTGGTGGTGCAGCAGTTAAGTTTGCGTGTTCCTCCTTCGTGGCCTGGGGTTCTCTGGTTCAGATCCCAGGCATGGACCTATACACTGCTTATCAAGCTATGCTGTGGCAAGCATCCCACATATAAAATAGAGGAAGATAGGCACAAATGTCAGCTCAGGGCCAATCTTCCTTACAAAAAAACCCCACAAAAAACCCTAATACAGGCTGGCTCAGTGGTGTAGTGCTGGTTAAGTTCACACTCTACTTCGGTGGCCTGGGGTTCGAGAGTTTAGATCCTGGGCTTGGACCTACACACCACTCATCAAGCCTGCTGTGGTGGGATCCCACACAAAAAATAGAGGAAGATTGGCAACAGATGTTAGCTCAGGGCCAAGCTTCCTCACCAAAACAAACAAACAAACAAAAAACCCTGATAGAATAATTTTTGGAATTATAGAGCACTATAGATCTTCAGTAACTTGAATAATTATGGATTCCCCCTGTACAGTTTAACTAGCTCTTTAAACACTGGCTAACATGTTAAAATGGATAATAGTTGAAGTACAGAGAAGAGAACACTATTTCCTAAGTCAATAGGAAAGAATTGTTAGGAAAGATGTCTTTAGTCCTCTGGCATTTTGACCAGAAAGTCTTACTGGTGGTGACCCATAATAGAACGAAGAGGGAGAATGACAAGGATGTTTTATGGTAGACAGGTAGTTTACAAAGTCCTTTCCAAGTTCCATTTTTATAGGCCCATATAGATGCAAGATAGAAACAGAAAAATAAGTTTTATGGTGAGTAACGCCAGTTTCATTTTTGTAATGTTCTGAAACAGTGGTTCTCAGACTTATCTGTTCTTTACAATCTCCTGGGAGCTTTGTAGGCAAACAGGCTTCCAGACTCTGCCCCCAGAGATTCTGACCAGGTCTCTGTTAGGGCCTGGGAATCTATTGGAAATATTTTTAGCCTACTGGAAAGCAGAGAGAATAAACTAACAAACATAGGTAACCACAGCTTTAACAAAGGGGGTGATCTTTTCAAAATGTACATTTGATCTCTTCGCCTCCCTACTTAAAATCCTTCCATGTGTTTTGATAAAGACTCTTTACATTGGCCCACAAAAGCCAGCAGTTTGAAACACTGCTTTCCCGTACGAGCCACACCTCTGTACCAGCCACACCTGTCAGCTCTCAGACCTTCAAAGGTGTCCTGTGTCCTCTGTGCTTAGGTTTGTTGCCTCTGTCTTTATGTCTCTGCCCCCTCTCTCCACCAAGCCACACTGTTTCCAGTGCCAGGCAGGGCACAGCGCCTGGCATGTACTGGGCACTCACATGTCTAGAGTGAATGGCTATCTGGACGAAAGCGAAGAGTCAAGGGTGGACGCTGATACTAGGAAGTCGATATGGAGATAGGCTGGGGATTCAAGAGATTGAGTTTCCATGTATTGAACTCTTATTTTTACCCTGAAGTGGAGGGTGAGGTGATTTGATTTGCTAAGCGAGGAAGTAGGAGGAGGTGGCTTGAGAAAATAGTGAAGGCTTGAAATAGGTGCTGTGAAAGATGGGAGATGGCTTACTGGGGACCCAGTCGCAAATACTGATTTGACATTCACTGAGGGCCTACTCTGCTCCACCTGTGAGCTTGCTGAGCAGCATGGAGGGCAGTTGCGATGGGAGGTCATGAATTTGAGGGTACCAACACACAAGGCAGTGATTTCCTTCTCCCAGCAGGACGTGGCTGCTTGGATGATGGAGCTAGAGGAAGGAGGCAGCTGGGACGGTGATGGGTTGGAGTTTTGCAGAGCTGGGGTGATGAATGAACGTGGGAGCCAGGTGGTTGAGAGTCTGAGTAAAAGTGTTCGTGGTCCAGGCCAAATGAAGGAGTGAGTGTAGAAGTGGCCTGTTAGGTTGACAAAATATGGAAAGTCACTAAGAGGCTAGCATCTCAGTGAGGTTGGAGAAGTGAGATGTAGATCTCAGGGTAGTAGTTGGAGAAAATAGTGCCTTTGAGATGAAAATATCAAAGGATATAGAGGAAGACGGGAGCTAGGATGAGTGGCCATGGGAGTGAATGGTTGAAAGGGTAGTGAGGGGAAGGGCATTGGATTTGTGGAGAATATCCCTTAGGGCTCTTTCATTGGCAAGTAGCAAAACTCTAATTAAAACTGGCTAAACAGTAGGGGCTGGCCCTGTGGCCTAGTGGTTAAGTTCGCGCGCTCCGCTGCAGGCGGCCCAGTGTTTTGTTGGTTCGAATCCTGGGCGCGGACATGGCACTGCTCATCAGACCACGCTGAGGCAGCGTCCCACATGCCACAACTAGAAGGACCCACAACGAAGAATATACAACTATGTACGGGGGGCTTTGGGGAGAAAAAGGAAAAAAATAAAATCTTAAAAAAAAAAAAAACTAGCTAAACAGTAAAGAGGATTTGTTGGCTTATGTAATTGAAAAGTCAAGAGGTAGGCTTGGTTTTAGCTTCATTTGTTTTTCTTTGAGGAAGATTAGCCCTGAACTAACTGCTGCCAATCCTCCTCTTTTTGCTGAGGAAGACTGGTCCTGAGTTAACATCTGTGCCCATCTTCCTCTACTTTATATGTGGGACGCCTACCACAGCATGGCATGCCAAGCGGTGCCATGTCCACACCCAGGATCCGAACTGGTGAACCCCAGGCCACCGAAGCGGAACGTGCACACTTAACTGCTGTGCCACCAGGCCGGCCCCTAGGTTCATTTTGATCCAGAAGTTGACGACGTAACAAAGGGATCCATTCTCTGGTTCTCTTGGCACTGTCCTTTGCCTGTCAGCATCTTCCTTGGGTCCCCTCCTGGAGCCAGATATGGCTTAGCTGCAACAGTTCCAGCTGTCACGCCCTTGTACCACGAGAGGAAGAGAGCGAGTTTCTCTTGACCATTGGAATCAATTCCTGGACTTCATTCTGACTAGACCGACTTAGAAAAATGCTCATCCACCCTTGATAGTTGCTATGACCAGGGAAATCTCATGCCCCGATTAGCTTAGGGATGGGTTATTGCCCACCCTATGGCAAAGAGGATGGTGTTGCTCTGATTCACTTAGGCCACTCGGTGTGTCCCTGTCATTGGAGGTGAATTGGAGTTGATCCAAAGGGAGAGGAGTGGAGAGGACATGGGGAGAAAACCAACAACGTCCACCACAATGAGGAACTATGCGGCTAGTTATTGAGTGACAAGATGCCAGGAAGACAGCAGTATTTGGGGTGCCACACCCTTCAGTAACTATTGAGTGTCCATGTATATAGAGAACGACAGAGATGAGAGAAGGTGGAGACAGTGTATCAGATTGGCATCATCTCCAAAGGAGCTGAGATTTTTCCTGCTCTGAGAATCATGACAGGGAAGCAGCACTGGGGCACAAGGAGAATGCAGACCCCACTTCCCAGTATAAGTGTATGGGGTTCAGGAAAGGGAGCACTGTCCCCTGGAGGCTGCTCCAGGTGAAATGAAGTCTCTTGGAGGGTGAGCCAGGCTTCAGAGGAGGCAAGGTGAGCTTTGTGTAAATAAAGGTAAAGAATTCCAGGGGTGGAGCGGGTGGGAGTGCTCTGTAGAACTAGGTCTGCAGCCAGCACGG